GACCTTTCACAAGAAAAAGGCCACCACTCATAAAGGCAGAATTAGGGAAGCTCCTCAGGAGAGGAGGCCAAAAACGACTTCTGTGTCTAGATAAGATTACTTAGCTACAAAATGAAGTATTGGGTTAGACAGTTCTAAAGGGCCATCATCAGTATGAGGTCATTTTTTTGTTGTTGCTTTTTTTTTTTTTTTTTTTTGGTTTTTCGAGACAGGGTTTCTCTGTGTAGCTTTGCGCCTTTCCTGGAACTCACTTGGTAGCCCAGGCTGGCCTCGAACTCACAGAGATCCGCCTGGCTCTGCCTCCCGAGTGCTGGGATTAAAGGTGTGCGCCACCACCGCCCGGCTGTTGTTGCTTTTTAAAAATATTTTTTAATTCTTTAAGAATTTCATAAAATATATCTTGATCATATTCCTAGTGTTTTTTTTAATCAGGACTAGGATTTGCATTATGTCACAGCAGATATTAGCTTATAGCAATGGATTCCCAATTAAAGAGCATATAAAATATAATATATATATATATATTTTTCCCCCTTAACTCCCAGATTTACCCTTACCTCCCCTAACCCCTAATTTTGTGTATTCTTTTAAAAAATTCAATAGCTCATTGACTTCAATTGTATTGTTCATATTGTTCTGAGTGTGGGGCCATCCACTCAAGTGTGGTCAACCTACCATGAGCCACACCCTTAAAGAAAACTGATTCTCCCTCCTCAGAAGCCATCAATTTTTATATCTCTATCTCTTAACTATAGGTAGAAGATGTTAAAGGCAGATTTATAAAATATGGAAAGCAGGCAGATTCTATGGCAAGCATATGAACCAAATTTGAATTTGACTGCCCCAATTAATACATCTACAACTCAATTCCCATACCTAAGGCTCAGAGAACATCATAAATGAAGGGACAGAATAAGAACCAGATGAACAGGAAGTCTGATATGAGACTGTGTCTCCTGGAAATGACTGGGAAGCTATACTCATGATACCTCAACAATATGCCTACCTAAAAAGACCCAAACAATGACAACACTAATAGACATAACATGGAAGGGAAAAAAATATTAGAGGTACCACCCTTTGACAGAGAACTACAGGCAACTAACAACTGCTGGAAAAGGAAGAATTAAGTCTTCCCCAGGGACGGGCCTCCTAATTGGTTATTCAGAACCAAGTGGTCAGTCCTGAAATCATATGCATACAAGCAACACTAAATGGATTTATTTACCAAGTTATATTTATATATTTACGTGTTTGATATATGTATGTCTGAGAATGATAATCAAAGAAAAAGAGGCCACAAATTTGAGAGGGATTAAGGGGCTGGACATGGGAGTGGTTAGAGGGAGGAAAGGGAAGGGGAGAATTGCTGTAATTATCTTTTAATTAAAATTTTAAAAATTATTAAGAACTAAAAAAGGTATGGTCACTACATTCTACTCTACTTACTCTTTTCTTGTTCTCAGTCAAGCCTCCTTCACTCTTCTGTTTTGATCAAAATCACTCTCTTCAAAATCTGCAACAATTTCCTGTTGCCAAATATGCTAGTCATACTTCCAGGTTTCATTCTATTCAACATCAACATTAACACATATATTTAACTGGTTCTTCTCCGAAATGTTTTCTGTTCTTCACTTCTAAAAATGTTTCCTGTCTCCATATACCTCACTGGCTACAACTTTCCATATCTTATTAAAAATTCTCCTCTTCCACCTAAATTGAAATGCTACAGCAGTTCCCTAGAATCTGTCTTCACTTCAGTTCATCTCTAGCTACATTAACTCCTTGTTTTCAACCAGCCCCTTAGCTTTAAAATCAATAGAAAATTAATGACATTCAACACTTTACACAACTATACATTCAGACAGACAACTGCCTAATTTACAACTCCACTTAAATCTGTACCCTTCAAATACAATATAATCAAGATTGCAGTATTTTATGTCTTCTTGAAAACATATCCCTTCAAAACTACATATCTCCCTGAATGATGACTACATCCTTAGTTGAAAAAGTCACATCTTTTATCAAAAATATATATGTGCTATTGGAAAATTAGCCTGGAGTAGTGGAGGTACACACCTTTAATCCTAGCACTCTGGAAGCAGAGGCAGGTGTATCTCTATGAGTTCGAGGCCAGTCTAGTCTACAAAGTGAGTTCTAGGACAGCTAGGGCTGTTAGAGAGAGAGAGAGAGAAAATTCTATCAGTTCAAATGCCAAAATTGATACAGCACCTTACCACTTTCTACCACCCTAATGAACATCTGCATCTAAGCTAGCATAGTGTCCTACAAGAACTATTATTATAATCTTCCTTTATATTTTTCTCTGATATTTTCTAGTGGTGGGGACTGAATACAGGGCTTTTGCATGCCAGGTAACCACTTTACTACAAAGTTATATTTAGCCTAGACCACTTCTAAATTTCTGTACATATTTTCTTTGTGGTTTCCACGATGCTTATATAATGCATCTTATAATCATCAATTCTAAGCTAATATTGTGTGTGTGTGTGTGTGTGTGTGTGTGTGTGTGTGTGTGTGTGAAAGAGAAGGGGCATATACATGTAGGGGGGTATGTACCCATGTGAAGGACAGAGGAAGAGCTCATGTATCCTACTCTATCATGCTCTACCTTATTCTCTTGAGGCAGGGTTTCTATAAGCCAACATGCTCCAAAGATCCTCCTGTCTATCCCAGGCAACATAGGGGTTACAGGTACACATGACCATGCCTGGCTTTTTATATAGGTGCCAGGGATTTGAAATCAGATTCTCATGCTACCTGATGAGCCATTTCCTCAGCCTGTAAGTTTATAATTTTATTTGCATACAAAAATTCTACAATTCTTTCCCCAAATTTTTGTTACTGACATCACCACTAACATCACCATGTATTCACTGATAAATTTTGCAACTATAATTACTCTTAATAATTGTCTTTTAATTTTATATTAAAATTATGAGTGATTTATATACCTTAATAATATTCATGTCTTCATGTTTCTATCTTTGCCTTCACCCATAAATTCTATACTTTAATTTTCTTTTATGCCATATAGCAAGCACCCTTTTTGCTCCAACTTAAAGAACTCTTTCCTTGTATTTCTTGCTAGGCAAGTCTACTTGCAATAAATTACCTCTGCTACTATTTGTATAAGAAAATCTTTCTCTCTTATCTTTAAAGGATCATTTTACTAAGCACAATATTTTTGCTAAATGGTTTGTTCCGATGGTATGCGGAATTCATCATTCCATTCTCTTCTGTTCTGAAAAGCCTCTACTGAGAAATCTGTCATATCTTATAAAGCTTCCTTGTACACAAGTTTCTTTTTCTTTTGTTGCTTTCAAAATATCTGTCTTTGACTCATGACAGTCAGGTTATAACATGCATTGATCTAGATATTAATTTATCTAAATAGTGTGCTTTTGGCTTTAATAATTGATGTTCATTTTCCTCCTTAGATTTGAACAGTCTTCAGTCATTATTTCTTTCAAATTTTTGTCCATTTCTCTCTCATTTCTCCTTCTGGTAATTCCATATTGCATATAATGTTCCCATAAACTTCACAGGCTTTTTTCACTTATTCTCTTTGTCCCATGCACAGATCATTTTGGGCATCTACCAATTATTTCACCAAGTATTTCTCTTATTATATCAAGAATATTATTCTATTGAATATTTCAATTCAAGTGTGATATTCTTCAGCTCCAGAACTATGTTAGGTTCTTATTTACTTTTCCCTTGTGGTTTCTCTTTATTTGCTGATTATACTGTTCAGACACTATTTCTCTAATTACCTTATCTGTATCTATTTTCTTGTATTTCACTTTTTAAAAGATATTTTAAATTCTTTGTCAGGTAATTCATATAATTTCATTTTTTAGCATCAGTTACAAGACATCATATCACTTGACTCTTCATATTTCTTGTAAATTTGACTTTTTCTATCAGCAAAATGAAAAATAAAAACAGCTGTCTCCCTTGGTCCTCATGGACTGGCTTTAACAGGGAAAGGCTTTTACCAATCAATCCATCTGAGAATCTGGGAACTTCTCAAATCTTTTCTATGGATATATATTATTCCTCCTTTCTTCCTGAGAGTCTCAAGATTATGAGTCTCCTTGCAATTTGTTCATATTCATAAACAGCCACAGTAAATCACTCATCTCTTTTCCCCAGGGTAGTATATTGAAAAGACCAAGGCACTCTGCTCTTCTCTCTCCCTCTGAGGAAAAATTAAAAAAACCCTCTGGGCCGGGCGGTGGTGGCGCACGCCTTTAATCCCAGCACTTGGGAGGCAGAGCCAGGCGGATCTCTGTGAGTTCGAGGCCAGCCTGGTCTACAGCGCGAGATCCAGGACAGGCTCCAAAGCTACACAGAGAAACCCTGTCTCGAAAAACCAAAAATAAAAAAAACCCTCTGATTGTATGCCCTTTCTCAATCTTGCAGAACTATCTGTCCACAGGGAGCTAGCTGCACATCACTTTCTTCTAAAACAGTGTACTGAAGGGCTGGGACACGAAATGCCTGTTACACTCTTCTTTACCCAATCTGGGAAGAAGTCTTGATTTTGCACTATTCACAGTCTTACAGAGCTGTGCAAGCTTTGTGGCCACTCCTTTTTAGTTGCCTCTGAAAGTTTATGCAGGTAACTTCAGCAGTTGCAGTAAAGCGGGTTAAGCTATGTCACTTGGGCAGTGCCCAGAAATGCTAAAGATGTTAAGTATATTCTGCTCATTTTATATTGCTTTAGTGGTATAGATCAACTGATGTAAATTCTGTCTTAGCTATCATGAAGAAAGGGATGATTCGGGGAAATGACATTCTTCTTAAAGGTTTCAAAAGTGGCTGTTTCCTGTTTTGTACTCTGTGGAGTCCTGCATCATCTTTATTGGATTCTATACCACTCATAAAAATATATTGCTGTATATGTGACTGTTAATCAGTGTTTCTGCAAAGGATGAGGGATGGGGTTTCCTTTCTACCTTTTATCTCTTTTAAAATATGAACACTTCAAGAATTTGTGTGTCATCCTTGCACAGTGGCTATGCTAATCTTTGTATTGTTCCAATTTTACTGTATGTGCTGCCAAAGTAAGCACTTATTCCACCATCTTGCTAATGCCAAAAAAACTATCATTGTCTTCCTGGGCCCTGTTCCACCACAGATGACAAACTGAAACTTTCTGGAAAAAAAAAAAGCCAAAATAAACATGAATTCTTCCTGTGTACATCTGTTCCTTCATGGACCATCACCTTTAAAGATCCTTACCAAAAGAAAACAAAGCCAGCCAGGGCTAGAGAAATCCCCATCTCAAAAAACAAAATAAAAAAATTAAAAAGCAAAAGAATCTTTAAAGATCCTGTCTATGTGAGTTGTTCTCCAGTGCCTGCAGGCAGGGTTTTTTTTTTTTTTTCATACTTTATCTGGGTTTTATAACTTCCATTCTGTATAATAACCCTGCTAGACATCTAGATAAAACAGTTAATTCTAGGTAGCTTTCTATGATTTATACAAAGACCTTTGCATTATGCTCCCACAGAGAAAGAGTACATCCAACAAATATGACTGTTCTGAGTAATTCTCTGCAAGCTATAGCCCTTCTGCTTTCCCTAAGCAAACAGAATTCAAGTGTGTATCCTTCTGCCACCAAATTGTCTCCCAAGCCTTCACAGTTGTTAAAAATGAGACACATGGTTCCTGAACTCAAGATGAGTCACTTATCATGGAAAAGCATTGTCTTGCTAGTATTTTCTGAGACACTCTATTTCTGTATCACTACATATTCTCTGTAAGTCCTTCCTTACCTCACGTACATGGTGCTTCTGCACAGTTTCAGGTCTGTTATAGATCACAGTGCTATAGATCAAGAATATCACTTTTATGTTTTGCTACAGGCCATTTCAACTTGGAAATATATTTCTTATAACTTCTAAGATCTATACTTTCCCCATTGTGAGTCTAGATACACCCTTTTCCTCATACAACTTCTACATAGTGTTAATACTTTGACAGTCCTTACTTAAAAATTTGAAGTGGCAGGTTATGTCTTGCAAAGATTCTGTAATGTAGGATTTTCAAGTTTACACACATACATACTAGGGTATGTTCATTTCATAAAAAGGAAAGAGGGACAAATAAGAAATATGTCAGGGACTCTGGATGTGGCTCAATGGTAGAGTATTTATCACACACAGAGCTCTGAGTTTACTTCCCAACACACAAAGAAAAAGGGGGGATAAAGAATTATTTTAATAATATATTTATACCATAATATTGTAATTCTTATAATTTCCAAAAACAAATTTTACCTTGGAAGTCAGACTAGTGATTTACTAATAATTACCACTTCCAAACCTAACTTTCTGAGCATAATCTTAAGGCTGAGCACATGAACTTTGTTACACAACCCCCTTTGTCAAAGCTGATATCTTTTAGAAAGATATCAAGGAAAAAATGTGTTTCTTACTGTTCCTATAAACAATTCTCTACTGATGAAAATTGGCTTTAGCATCCAGTTGTCTTTGGCACTGATAGAGTACCCTTATTGCCACATTACTCATAAACACCACCAGCAGCCCTGTTATCTCCCATTCTCATTGAGCTCCAATGTCTCAAGACCCATTTCCTCCAATTCCTAGGATCTGGTATCCCATCTTATTGTACTTTGTATCCCAGCCACTTGAGTCGACTGGTATCTGTTGTTATTATTATTTGGTTGGTATCATTATTTCCTCTTTTGTTTTTCACCCTTTAAACATGAGCACAAATAATTTCCTACATTAAATTCCATGTCATACTTTTACTAATGTAGTTTGTATCTTCATGACTGAAATTTAAATGACTATGGACTCTGATGCTTACTCACTCTCCAGTCAAAAGCTTTCTTAGTTGAAAAGTAAACATTACTTAAATTTTACATTTTAAAATGAATTTTTAAAACTTATTTAACTTTATAAAATATGACATGACAATAACAATTACCTTAAAAAGAACTCTCAACATGTAAAACAATCAGTGTTAGCATTTGGTATATTTATTTCTCATTTCTTTTCTGTGAAAATTTTTTTTCTTTTGTTGTTGTATAAATGTCTTTTTAAAGATTTTATTTAAAATTTTTTTGTTTTATTGAAAATAGATTTTTTTCTCACATAATATATCCTGATTACAGTTTTCCCTCCCCGTACTCTTCCCAATTTCTCCCCACCTCCCTCCCATCCAGATTCATACCCTTTCATTAAAAAATGAACAGGCACAGGGATCGCCCAATGACAGAGAAATGAATGAGACCTACATGAGCAAACTAGACGTGAGGGGGGTTAATGAAGGGCAAGGGTGGAGGGAAAGAGAGCTTAGGGGAGCGGGAGAGACCAGCTGGATCAAGAACAGAGAGGGAGAACAAGGAAAAAGAGACCATGATAAATGAAGACCCCATGGGAATAGGAAGAAGTAAAGTGCTAGAGAGGTCCCCAGAAATCCACAAAGATACCTCCACAACAGACTACTGGCAAGGGTCGAGAGAAAGCCCGAACTGACCTACTCTGGTGATAGGATGGCCAAACACCCTAACTGTCGTGCTAGAAATCTCATCCAATGACTGATGGAAGAGGATGCAGAGATCCATGGCCAGGCCCCAGGTGGAGCTCCAGGAATCCAATCAGCGAGAAAGAGGAGGAATTGTATGAGCGAGAATTGTTGAGACCAAGATTGGAAAAAGCACCGGGACAAATAGCCAAACTAGTGAACCTATGAACCAATAGCTGAGGAGCCCCCAACTGGATCAGGCCCTCTGGATAAGTGACACAGTTGATTAGCCTGAACTGTTTGGCAGGCACCCAGGCAGTGGGACCAGGACCTGTCCTTAGTGCATGAGCTGGCTTTTTGGAACCTGGGGCCTATGCAGGGACACTTTGCTCAGCCTGGGAGGAGGGGACTGGACCTGCCTAGACTGAATCTACCAGGTTGAGCTGAATCCCCAGGGGAGTCCTTGCCCTGGAGGAGATGGGAATGGGGGATAGGCTGGGGGGAGAGGGGGTGGGAGGAGGGAGGACAGGGGAATCTGTGGCTGATATGTAAAATTAAATCAAATTATAAAATTAATTAATAAATAAATAAACAGGCTTTTAATGGATAATAATGAAATAAAATATAGTAAGATAAAACAAAACACATCGGAACTGAACAAAACAAACCGAAGAAAAAGAGTCCAAGAAACGGCACAACAATCAGAGACCCACTCATTCATACATTCAGGAATTCCATAAAAACACTAAACTGTGGTGGCACATGCCTTTAATTCCAGCACTGTGGAGGCAGAAACAGGCAGGTCTCTGTAAGTTGAGACCACCCTGGTTTACATAGCAAGTGCCAGGCCAGTGAAGGCTAATATGAGACCCTGTCTCAAAAACAAACAAAACAAAAACAAAAACTAATTTTTGTTTTTCAAATGTATGCATAATATATTCATTTTGAATAATAAGTTTTCTATCCATAAGGTACACCTTTAAATTTTTTGAATCTCTACTTAAAAAGATTTTAAAAGTTTCCTTCACTTTGACATGTAACAGTGAAATGACAAATTTATCTCTAATACCTAGTCTATAAATGATAATTCTCAAAGTCGTACCTAATATACTTATAAAAGACACTATATATGTTACTGCTTTGACAAAATTTACAGCTAAGGATATTTATCCAAAATACAATTTTAAAAATTAGAGCTTGGGATTCTATATAACAATAAATGCATATTTTTAAAAATCCTGTCAATATTTTATATAAACTATGAACCAAGTCAGACTTCCTCTGCAACCTCTAATAATTATAAATTAACTTAAGCTAATTACTTACCCTCTATTACTGACAATTGCCTTTTTCAAATGAATATAATTCGCAGGAAAGATTCCCTGTAAAACAAACAAAAAGTCCAGTTAACAAAATATAAATTGTGATTAATATCTCATATATATATATTCAAAGAGAATGGAAATGTAGTAAATATTCTATTAAAACAACCACTTTGCACATCAAGAATACAGAGTTGAAGGAAGAGCATTAGGTTGGGATTTTATGACCATGTATAACTAGACTGTATCCTCAGGAGAAAACTACAGCCTTAAATACTTTATAAATAAAATGTTAAATAACTACAAAGTAGAAATAATGCATGAAATGACTCACAAGCTATAGTACTGTATACAGGTCATTTGTGTTCAAAATCCACATCATCATCTTATCAATAACTTACAGTTATCCAGCTTTGAGTTACAGAAACAATTTTAAGACTCTCACTAATATTTAGATTCATTTAAGAATGTACCAGTTTGGCATGGTATGTACTCACTCATAAGTGAATATTAGACACAAAGCAAAAGGATAAACCAGGCTACAATCCACAACCCCAGAGAAGCTAGGTAAAGAGGAGGACACTAAAAGGGACACACATGGATCGCCCCAGGAAGAGGAAAGGGTTAAGATCTCCTGGGTAAACTGGGAGGAGGGAATAGAGGGGAGGGGATGGGAGGTGGGAACATGGGGGAGAGATGGGGAGTAAGAACAATAAAAGAGATATCTTGACAGAGTGTACCATTAAGGGGATGAGGAAAAATTTGCAGCTAGGGAAAACACCAGGAATTCACAAGATTGTCCCTAGCTAAGACTCATAGCAATGGTGGAGAGGGTGCTTGAACTAGCCTTCCCCTGCACTCAGATTGGTGTCCATCCTAATTGTCATCATAGAACCTACATCCAGTGACTGATGGAAGCAGATGCAGAGACCCACAGCCAAGCACTTGGCCAAGATACTGGAGTTCAGCTGAAGAAAAAGAGGAAAGATTGTAAGAGCAAAGGGGGTCAGAATCATGATGGGAAAAACCACAGAAATAGCTGACCCAAGCTAGTGGGAGCTCATGGACTCTGGACTGACAGCTGGGGAGCCTGCATGGGAACGCACTAGGCCCTCTGAATGTGGGTGAAAGTTCTCTGGCTTGATGTGTTTGTGGGTCCCCTAGCAATGGGACCAGGACTTATTATGGGTACACTAACTGACTTTTTAGAGCCCATTCCCTATAGTGCAAAGCCTTACTCAGCCTTGATGCAGTGGGGAGGGGCTAGATCCGGCCCCAACTTGGTATGACAGCCTGTGTTGACTATCCAAGGGAGGCCTTACCCTCTATGAGGAGTGGTTAGGGGTGGGGGGGGTAGGTGGGGGGGAGAGAAGAAGAAGGAGGGAGCACAGGGTTTGATATGTAAAAGAAAAGAAAATTCTTTATTAAACACTTTGCACAGCCTTGGTGCAGGGAGGAGGGGCTTAGACCTGCCTCAACTGAATGTACCAGGCTCTGCTGAGTCCCCATGGGAGACCTTGCCTTGGAGGAGGTGGGAATGGGGAGGTGGGTTGGGGGAGAAGGCTGGGGGGTGGGAGGAGGAAGGACAGGGGAATCTGTGGTTGATATGTAAAATGAACAGAAAATCTCTTAATAAAAAACAGGAGAAAAAATTTTGGGTGGGTAGGGAACTTAAGGGAGGGGAAGAATATAAACAAAATACATTTAAATTTAAAATTTGTTTTAAATAATAAAAATAAAAATAAAATTTTAAAAAGAAAAAAATTGTAAAAAAAGAATGCACAAGTTTGGAAGATTTTACAAATAGTTCTGCTTGTACTCTTTTGAAACTATTTTCATTGAGTAAAAAATTAAATTTTGTGTGTGTGTGTGTGTGTGTGTGTGTGTGTGTGCGCGCAGCATTTATGGAGGTCAGAGGACAATTTGTGGGAGTCCCTTGTCTCCTGCTATGTGGTTGCTGAAGCTTGAACTCAGGTGGTCAGGTTTGGTGACAGGTATCCTTACCAACACAGAAATACATTCTTATAAAAAAGCCATTTCAGTTTTCCAACCATTTCAATTTCTCCTAATAAAATTCCTTCAAATAAAACATGAATAACCTAGATACTATTATCCTTTAACCTAGAGAATAAAAAATTATAACACCAACCAATAATACATAAGGCTATCAGCAACTTAGCTATAGTAATTCATTTTACGTAATGGCTCGTAAAAAAAGATAACCTGTACATTGACAAGGAATATTAAATATAAAAAAAGACTTAGACTACACAACTGCATGCAGAAACAACTAAATGAAGCTCTCATATATGATAAAATACCCTCCAAGAAAATCTAGATAGAAGTAAAGAAGGCAACTACATATTAATAAAGGGAATAATTCATCAGAATGTTATAATGATTGTAAAAAAAATTTCCAATAAATGTAAGGGTTTCCCAGTAGCATAAAATGAACACTAAAGCACATTAAATGTCAGATAAATCTTGATATAATAATAATGGGAGGCTTCACTGTCTCACTAAGAGCCTTAGGTAGGTCCTTGCATCTCAAACCAGTAAAGAGACATCAGCTTTAAATAATCATACAACAGACTCATTGGATTCAGCACATCTAACATAAAAAATATACATTCCTCTAAGAGGCCTAGGGAACCTTCTCTGATATTTTTATCTAGATACCAAAACTAGATACTATAGCCCAGTTTCCCTAATGAACATAGATTTAAAATTTCTCAACAAAGTATTCAAACAGCAAATTTAAGATCATATTAATATCTTACATTATGGCTTCATCTCTGTGATGCAAGATTGGGTCAACATATGCAAAGTAATAAATGTAATACATTATACAAAAAGATGTAAGGACAGAAATAACACAATCACCTCAACAGATACAGAAAAGCCTTTTGACAAAAATCCAATATTATTTCATAATAAAATCCTCAAAACTTAGGATTAGAAGAAACATAACTCAAAATATTAATGGCTGCATGTTTCCCCTGAGGCACTTGCTCATAGAATCCCTCTTCTTTCTCTGACTGGACTCTTGGAGCTCTGTCTGGTGATTGGCTGTGGATCTATGCATCTGCTTCCATCACTCATCGGAGAAAAGCTCTGTGATGACAGGGTATTCAGCAGTCTCATCTCTGGGGCAATACATGGGACTGGACTAGGCTCTCTGCATGGCTAGACAGTTGTGTAGCTTGATCTACTTGGGGGACCCCTGGTGGTAGGATCAGAATTCATCTCTGGTGCATGAGCAGGCTTTTTGGAGCCCACTACCTATGATGGGACACCTTGTGCAGTCTTGAGGCAGGGGGAAGGGCTTGAACTTGCCTCTACTGGATGTGCCTCCCCACTGGAGGCCTTGCCTTCTTGTGGATGGGAGAGGAAGGTGAGTTGGGAGGGGGAGGGTGGGCGGCGGGAGGCAGGAAGAGGTAAGAGGGGGATCTTTGATTGGTATGTAAAATGAATGAAAAAATTTCTTAATAAAAAAGGGGGGAAACGTAGACTAATAGAAAAAATAATAATGGCTACATATGACAAGTCTATAAGCTAACATTTTATTAAATGGAGAAACTGAGAGCATTTTCTCCAAAATATGAAATGACAAAAAAGGGGCCCACTCTTAATATAGCGCTCAGAACTTTAGCTAGATCCATAAGAGAGAAAAAGGGATACAAATAGGACAGGAAGATGGTAAATCATTCTCTTTGCAGATGACATGATCTTATACTTAAAGGATGCTATGGATGTCACCAGAAAACTCTTAGGTCTGATACTTTCAGCACGCAGCAGAATACTAAAAGCAACATAAAAAATCAGTAGCTTTTCTATATATCAATAATAAAGTGGTGAAGAAAGAAATTAGGAAAAATAATTCATTTTCAATAGCTTTAAAAAAAATAGGGGGCTGGAGAAAAGACTCCGTAGTTAAGAGTGCTCGTGCAGAGGAATGGAGTCTGGTTCTCTTCATGTCGGGGGTTCATAACCTCCTATAACTCGAGCTCCAGGGAATCTAATGCCCTCTTCTAGGTTCTATGAGCACTAGCACCCATGTATGCATACACACATAGGCACACAAATAAACATAAATAACAAGATAAATCTTTTTTTAAAGCTAGGAATATAAACCTTATTGGGGAGATTTAAAAAAGAAAAACCTCTACAATGAAAACTCTAAAACATTTAATAGTGATACTAATACAGTCACTAGAAAATAAAAACATTTCATGCTTAGAGACTAACTCAACTTAATACTGTGAATAAAATTACTAGAAGAATTCTAAAGATTCAATGCAATCCCCATCAAAATATAAGTGAAATTCCTCATTGAACTGTAAAGAAGCCTCAACTCATAGAGAACTACAATGACCTCAGAAAGACACAACATTCCTAAAAAAAAAAAAATGGGATTACATGAAATCCAAAAGCTTCTTCACAGTAAGTAAAGCAATCCAGACTGAAGGGACTGGCTACAAAACAGGAGAAAATCGTTGCCTGCTATATCTCAGATAAGGAACTAATATAATACCTAGATATGTATTAAAAAAAACTACAAAAATCAATGCGTTCAAGACTACTTCCTACTTTCTCTTCTAGCAGGTTCACTTCCTAAATATAACACCAGTAGTACAGACACTTAGAGAAACAATCAATCAATGGGACCTCGTGAAACTGAGAAGCTTTTGTAGAGCAAAGGATACGGTCAACAAGGCAAAGCGACAGCCTACAGAATAGGAGAAGGTCTTCACCAACCCCACATCTGACAGAGGACTGATATCCAGAATATATAAAGAACTCAAAAAGTTAGACATCAAAATACTGAACAATACAATTAAGAAGTGGGCTATAGAACTGAACAGAGAATTCTCAACAGAGGAAACTCAAATGGCTGAAAGACATTTAAGGAATCGCTCAACATCCCTAATTATCAGGAAAAGGCAAATCAAAACAACTCTGAGATACCACCTTACGCCTGTCAGAATGGCTAAGATCAAAAACACTGAAGACACCTTACGCTGGAGAGGATGTGGAGCTAGGGGAACTCTCCTCCACTG